ACACTTTATTTATGAATCAATGTGTATCAACAATATAAGAATTGTTTTTTTTTCATAAATTTGAACAATTGAAAATAAAAGAAAACAACAACTTTGAAATAAATTCAAGATTTATGACATCTTCCACTTACTTATAGGCTTCCTAATATGGGTACAGTCCACTAATTGTTTTCCCATAGGCGACAATGTTAACGTTTCTTCTCATAGCGATGTCCCTAATTTTCGTTCGGTAGTGAGTGACCCCTCAAATCAAAGCACATCAACTTGTCTTTCCTTGGTTAAAATCTCGAGGTGGCATGTCAGATTCGTTTTCCGGCAAAATGCGTCTGTCTGCGGGAACCTCTAAAAATGAAAGTGAAAGTAGGGGAATTTCAGAATTCTCACTGGCGTTATAATACACAAAATAATTCGGCTGATCTTCTTGATAAATTACATTTTCAAAGCTTTTTTGGCAGGAAAGATACTCTTTATCAACAAGTGTGAGGCTCAGTTCAGTACACCTGCCCAATTTTTTTTACGCAAGTCTGCAATTTAAGGAACTTGTAATTTTTTCTGCACTACTTTCTTCTCCTACCGATTCTAAAAATAATTAGTGGGATGTACCCATGTATCACAATGAAAAAAACTTACTTGTTTCCTCTTGATTTTAATGTCTGTTTTTCGAAAGGTGTTTGTAACCATTTGCTGTGTACTCTTTGAGATTTCACATGGAGCCAAATCGATCTTCTTGATATTGTTGTCAACCCAATCTTTTATCTTGTTAAAGAGAGAAAATTTACTGGTATCAAGAAAAAAAAATTTCATTCATTTCAAAAACAATAATCAAAGTATATATTTTACCTTATTAATTTCTGATAAAGGGTTCATTGAGATCAGGAATGAAGAGGTCTGATCAATCAGCAAACGAGCGATATCAATGGCGGCTCCTGACACAGGATATTGCGCAGAAATTAACTCTTCAGCCCTGGTAAACGACTGAAAAATATCAGAAAACAAGGTCTCATCCGAAGGACCCGCAACTTTCACTTCAAAGTGCCGAGCGCATGGCGAAGGAACAGTTGCTACCAATTTTAACGACTGAGCTACCGTGTACCGACACGGTAGCTCAGTCGGTAGAGCGCTCGCTTCGTGATCGGGAGGTCGTAAGTTCGTATCTCGGCCGCGACTGACCTACTCGTTAAAATTGGTAGCAACTGTTCCTTCGCCATGCGCTCGGCACTTTGAAGTGAAAGTTGCGGGTCCTTCGGACGAGACCTTAAAAACCGAGGCCCCGTGTCAGCGGCAGGCGTTGGCACGATAAAGATCCCTCACTGCTCAATGGCCCTGAGTGCCGAGTAAAGGTCAAAATTTGAAGCCCTTCACCGGCATACGGTGACGTCTCCATATGAGTGAAAAATTCTCGAGAGGGACGTTAAACAATATACAATCAATAAATATGAACATTGCAACACTGCTTTCAGATTTTTTTTATTTGAGTATGATATAGAAAAATATGACTTAAGTTATACTATATACCATTGGGTCTTTTAGAAGTCTATTTTCAAAATAGTATGACTCAAAATTTGCAAAGAAAAATTGATTCAGCGATTCTTTTAAAGCAACAGTGCACTTAACATGACCTTTTTATCAACTGAATTTTCAACTTGATCATTTAATATTTGTACTTTAATCATAATTTACTAAATCTAACGATAAAAAGAAATTAATCCGTTTTATGAAAAATAGTTTGAACAAGAAAATCCTAATTGAATCAATCCTACAAATGTATACATAAAAAACTTCACATGTAATGAATTCAAAAATGCTACATCTTTTGGTGACTAAAGGGTTCATTGAAAAGCAAACTAAATGACACTAAAGTTGTCATCTGAAACAGTATAATAAATGTTTCATTTGATTGATCTTTCATTAGATTCATAGATACAATTATAAAATAATGTTATCAGTAATCTTATATATGTGAAAGTAGTGTTCTGTAGTGGAAATATAATTTTGAAATTAAATACTCACATTGAATTCATTCCTAAGTCGTTTTCTTGTTTCCGGTTTCTTCATTTCGCCATATAACTCCATAAATTCTGTCCTGCTTATAAAATTTTCCTTCCTTCTGAAGTACTCATACAGGGCGTAATAAAGGAAGGCGTACTGATCCTTAAATACATTACAACTGAGATAAGGTTCAAAGATGGTACATATGTACATGGAAATTTTTTTCCGAATGTAAAAATTCAAAATTGACACGTAAACCAAGAGAGGAACACAATTGCCAACTTACAGCGTTTTGAATCATGATCCTCCTATCTTTACGCATGGCCTTAACAAATTCGATGACGTTGATTTTGTCATGTTCCTCTCCGTACCTCGACAGGACGTCCAGAGCAATGAACGTCCCGGTTCTACCGATACCAGCACTAATTAAAACATTAATTAAAATATATATAAATATATATATAATACATATAAATATATATCCAGAGAAATGAACGTCCTCGTCCTACCGATTCCGGTACTAATTAAAACATTAATTAAAATATATATAAAATATATATGATATATATAATTATATATCCAGAGAAATGAACGTCCCCGTCCTACCGATACCAGCACTAATTAAAACATTAATTAAAAATATTTAGGGTCAAATCAAGAAACAAAATATATAGTCTGTTTTGTTCCATACACAAACATGAAGTCAATATATCTTTATTTATTTATTTATTTATTTTGGATTCCTTTTTCAAACATGTTATGTTTCGTATATTCATCTGTTGAGTTCAATCATATCAAAACAAACCGGGATACCTACTCGTATATTTAATTTAGATCTTATTTTAGGAGTTGTAATGCTAAAACATTTATTAAAAATATTTAGAGTCAAATCGAGAAAAAAAATATAAAAGTTTTTTTTGTTCCACACATGAACATGTATTCAATCTGTCGTCATTTATTTAATTTTACAAATTCCTTTTTCAAATAGGTTATGTTTTGTATAATCATCTGTTGAGTTCAATGATGTCAAAATAAACCGGGATACCTATTTTTAATTTAGATGTTATTTTAGGAGTTGAAATGCTTAAAAGTCAGTTTCCTTTTTATGTTACATGTAATCAGTATGCAATCTGGAGAGAAATGCAACAATATTATATCTATGACTGGTTTTCTTTAATTATTATAGAGAATGAGCAGTTTAAAAGATGCACTTTCCTTTTCAACCTAAATTTTAAATACCAAAAACCCTTGCTACCCTAAATTTCCTAGATCATAGCAAATAGCAAAAATCAGTTTGACACAATTTCAGTTGACAAATAGATCCAGACCTGCAATTGACAATGATTGGGTGATTGTTGGGTCTGATTTTATGCTGGAAAAGTCTGAGAAACATAATCAGGTTCAGCCGATTAGGCGTTCGATGGTCAGGCCATCTGGTGAAATGGAACTGTACAACCATCCTTGACTCAGGTACCTATCGAAAAGATGTTAGCAGCAGTATACGTTTGTAACAGAAGACGGATGTATTTATTACAACCAAATTTTTATTAAAACAGGTAGAATTTTATATTGAAAAATTACCTTCTTTTTCGAAAGAGTCATTTTCCTAACAACATAATAAGCATGTTCTTTTTATTCTACCAATTTCACAGAGAATGGACCCAGATTTAGTTCTTCCCTCTCATTTGGCCAATATTGATTACATTTTACCTTTAAATAGGATATTTCAAGCGCATGTGAATCCTTTTATTGAAAACAATATAGCAATTAAACTGTTTACATTGTTAGATCTAGAATCATATGTTAGAAATGAAAAGAAATGATAACAATGTTAAAATAAAGCATTGAGCAATCTGTGTATACTTCTATATATAGGTTTATAATGTATTTCCCTTCCATGTTATACTCGCACTTGCCAGCACATGATTTTCATATTTTAATTTGACGGGTGATATTTCTGTTTAAGAAATTAAATACAATTTTCTTTGAATTTGCCCCCTTTCGCCCAGCTTAGAATAATGCAAAAATGGTGAGGACATAATTTACTGTTTGAAGTACTCATTGGATTTTCAAACCTTTGGTCCCTCAGTAAGATTGGTCAACAAAACGACGTATTCCTCTTCTTCCTGCCATATCATTCTCCACTGGTCAACAATAGTGTTACTTTGGGTACCTGCAGAAAATATAAAATTTTTCTTTCTTATAAATGATAATAAAATGTTCTACGAGGACTTTTCACTAAATAATTACCTGAACGGTATGACATTCAATACAAATATCAAATGAAATTAAGCTTGACTTTCTCTCATTATTCAATCTTTAATGAATTTATAACAATTTATGTGACCACTTTTCATCACAAAGAACATGAGAAGCTGGAAAACAAGGGATATTCGAGACACTGCATTATAAATGAATGGTAAAGAATCAGAAAACTAGAGTGAAAATAAAAGCATCAATAAAGCTGCTGTAAAACTTGTTAAAATCTAAAAGAGACATTCACTGAAATATGTGAAATTAACAGCATTCAATGCCTGTTTTATATACAAATGAGCAGGTGGATTTCGATGATAAAAAAATTATATAATGGGCATCAAAAATGGGTACCGTCCTTGCCAACAAAGATAATATTACAACTTATGTACTGTTTGTCAAATTTCAACAAATAATATTTGATGATGTATGATTGACTTTGAGACACATAACAAAGATAGACATTTCGTTTTGGGAGTAGTTTACACTGTTTTTAAGAAACGTTTGACGGTTAGCAAGCTTAGTACTCAAAGGTCAACCTATAGTTTGAAAAATGAGTGAAAACGACAGACTGTACGAATGTCTTAACAATTATTTTAGAATATCAGTTATTAAAGTTATCCACGTTTGTTTAATATTCAAACAGATAATGAAACTTTAATCTATTGTTTAAAACTCCCAAAACAAAATTACCCATAAAGATGTACTTGATACAAACAGCGACAAGAGCAAAGAATTGCAAGAGCACAAAGAAGATTCATGTCCTATTTCCTTTAAGGACATTGGCAAGTCACGGTTATCCGGAGAAAAAAGGTTTATATCATGGGTTTGATCACTTATAAAACTGTGATTGAGAGTGATCCCCGTGTAGAATTCTCTATGAAATGAAAACAAAACGTGTTTTACAGAGCCTCAGGTAAACAAAAGCACATGTGCTTCCTTCAACGGATAAAATCATCTCTACAGCGAGAAAGAAAAACGGTGATAGTTTTGTTGTACATTGTGTTCAGGGACAGACAGTAAACAGTGGTCAACAGACTGTTATTTACCGTACCCATGCTGGGAAGGACAATCACAAGATATAACAAATGCCGAGAACCTGTAACTAATTGAGGTCGTTCGAAGGAGACACCATTTACATGCAGTAACTGTAAACAAATATAAAAACAAATATATGCCAATATTTTTATGAAAAATTGTTTCCAATATGGTTAATTACTTAACATAAACAGTCAAACAGTCTTTACCATTATGAATACGAATTAGATTCTAAGGGAAGTAACTCTAAAATTATGAACAGTATTGGTAGATCTTTGTCATGTTTCTAAATTTGCGTTTTCAGTCATAATATCTAGATTTAATTGGAAATGAGGATACAATAATGTATATAATATATAAACTTTCTGAAATTACTGGATTTTGGAGATTTTTTATGGTAAAAAATTAAGTAGGTCCTTTTTATCAACATTTTACATAGGAAATGCATTGAGAGTTGTAAAAACATTGATTTGACAAAATCTAATAAGGAAGGGTGGCTTGGTGGGTTAAATGTATCAGAAAATAACATGTTTAGTACCATTACACCTGTTCAAGAGTTCTTAACAAAATCTATACAAAAGCCAGGAGCCTTGCTTATGTCCTTAAAATTAGTCGTATTGTTGTTCAAATTCGTATTCGGGGAGACAGTTTAATTTCTGGAGGAGTTTAGAAAGGAAATTTGTTACATAAAATCAAAAGGTTATTAGAGGAAGGACCCAGAATCAGGAATCCACTACATTAATTTCCTTCATGACAGCGTCTAAACCTGCACACCCTGAGGAGTAAAGGAGTTTTCAGAATAAACAGAAAGTAAATGTTTTTTTTCACATTAACAAAATTCGCCACGTCTTTGACCTTTTGACTTTTCTTTTTTCAAACTTCAAAAAAAAAAAACACCTTTAAGAAGGAAGAAACAAGTCCAGGAAATCATAGGATCTGCCATTTTCCAGTATACTAAGGGTCATACCCATAAATTAGTTTTAAAAAAAATCAGAAATTGGATAAAAAATGTTACAGACGTATTATAATTAAAATAGAACACAGTGAAACTTCTCAAAACCGCCCCCCCCTCCTGAATACCGGTTCTCCCTCAATATCGGCCGATTTTAAAAGTCCCGGCAGAAATCTTAACATTCTTTTACCAATAAATTTTCATAATACCGGCCACCCCTGAAAACCGGACACCGGCCACTTTTTTGGTAACAAATTGTAAGAAGCATAGGTAATTTCTCCTTACTATACCGGCCACTTTTTCCCACCCAGAAATTCTGTCATGGGCCAAAGGGCTGTAATCGGCCGATTGCAATGACCGGCCAAGTGTGTTAAAATGATCGGAGATCGGAAGTGTGAAAATGACCTCAAGGGTTTCCTAAACTGTGCTCTCGAGTGTATACAATGACATGGTCTTTGTACACAATTGATCTTAGTTGTATAACATACAAGTAGTTTGGTGCTATGTATAAATGAAATATTAAATGACCAATGACTTGTAAAATATAAACAAGCCGTCGTCGCCATGTTTGTTGCATTCGTACTGCATTGTGGATATAAACGGCCTTATAATTTAACAATGATTAAATACAAGCTATTCAAAATAATAATAAAAAAAAATTAACATCATTCAACAACATTTTACATGTTATAGTCGTAATAAAATGCTCCTGTTTGTCATTTATTTGATTCTTGAATTTTACAGATTTTGCTTAATGTCGTACGCGACAAACATACAGCAGATACATAAATAAATAAAATGTGACTTTCGTTTTTTTTCTTTTCCATTTATTTTAGATTTAAGCGAATTTAAATTATGTAGAGGCTTTTCCTCAATGAATGAATAATTTAGAATTTCAGTCAGCAAATTAAAATTAGATACAAACCAATAATTAATTAGGGTTTGGGTGCCAGTCAATAATTATACAAGACGTCAATTATAAAGACCAGGATCAAGGTGAATGGTACCTACTTTGTGCCGATAATCTATCCCAGCAGCTTGAAGTTAAGTACAGATGCAATGATAGAGTTTGTATTTTTTTTTTCAAATTAAATCATTATCAGAAATTATTTCTTCTTTTTGCAAATGTAGTTTTGATATGACGATGTTTGTTTGTCTTGTCTTACGAATAAGCTGAAATTATACATAAATACTGCAAGTTCTGCAGTTTTTTCATCAAAATGTCTCAGCCAGCAAAGCGTCAATGTCTTGAGTTACCACTAAGTAATGAAATCAAGCTCATCAAGGACCATGAATCTCAACCTAAGATTTCTCAACGGGTGCTTGGTGAGAAATTCAAAGTCGGTAGGTCAACTGTGGGTGATATTTACGGAAAAAAAGTTCTACGTTTAGCAATTTGAAAAGAACGCCAGTCCCAAGAAATCCAGATTCAACTCAACGTGCAAGTTTTTCGATATCAATGATATTGTGTTCAAGTGGTTTTCAACAGCCCGTGCCAAAGGCATTCCGATTTCATTTTCTCAGTAAGATGCACTCTGACCTCCCATTTTTTCTGCCATTTTTAGTCATACTTTATTAGTACTTATCAAAGATAAACTTCTCAAAATACCCTTTATACATCAAAGGAAAAGATAGAATAAAACCAGTATTTGGCCCCCGATTCTGGATGTCTTTCAGAATGATGCAACAGTTTATCTATAAAATCTTGTTGTCACCCCTGCCACAAAATGAGTATTGGTTAAAAGATTTAGAGTATACAGTGGTCACAGTGAGGTCAAAAAATATGTCAATTTTCGACATTTCTCATTTTTATGCAAATTTTCATCAACTTTACAGCACATTTTCTTTCGGACAACATAGAGCACACGCTTGCCTATCTACAAATTTACATATTTTATACACTAATATCAGATGCAGTTTATGTGTAAAAATCTCAGATAGGAAGCTTGTGCTCTATGTTTTCCGAAGAGACATGTATCCCAAATATTATGAAATTCCACCAGAATTCAGAAAATTCTGGAAAATGCCCTATTTCTGCACCCTCTAGTGTCTTTCATGTAAGCTTTGAATCAAAATTAGTGCTTGTTTTAAAGTAAGCATCATTGTAACTTCTTAACTACAAATGATCACTATTTTACCAGTGTTCTGATTTCACATCCAATAAGAGGCCAACTTCGGCTGTTACCCTATCTTGTTCTTTCACGAGTGACATACAGTGCAGGGAAATAATTTTGTTACAGCATCAATGCTGATTTTGGTGCTTCCTATGCTTGCTGATTTTGATGCTTCCTTTGCTTGCTGATTTTGATGCTAGTTATCCTTATCCTGATCCTGGTTTGATCCTTATCCTGATGCTGGTTTGAAACTAGGTCAATGCTAGTAATGCTACCGGAAGTGGATAATTCAAAAAACAGCATCGCTATTTTAAGCCATTAAAAATAATTTTTGGGGTAATTTT